AGTGGTGGACAACAGAAGCAAAATGGATCGTGTGCAGAAATAAATACAGGCAGTTCCAGAGTTAAGAATGTCCAAATTATCAATAACCCATAAAGCCTATTTAAAAAAAAATACTGCAAAAATTCATCATCACCATAGAGAGAGGAAGCAAGAGGTAAGAGAGGGAAAGCCTCTGAAGCATCACCGAGAGAAAGGAAGAAAAAGGGGAGAGATAAAGGCCTTCAAAGGATGCTTTCCTACCCTGCTCATCCAGAGGGAAATCACTCCAGCGTTTTCTTGCTGCAAAGAGGAGATACTGGTGAGTTTAGGCAGGAAGGCTAGAGAGATTTATGGTTTTTCCTGGCAGGAAGGCTAGAGAGATTTATGGTTTTTCCTGGCAGGAAGGCTAGAGAGATTCATGCAGGGTCCTGCATCCCTAACCCCCATAAATGTGGAAGGTGGACAATACACGATCCAGTTTCAACTGAAAGATGAATTTCCGTTTTCTCAGGAATGGAACTCATTTGTAATCCAGGGACTGCCTGTATTGTACTAACTATGCCTAGTCTTCTCATCAAGCTGTAAGGGTCAGGACGTGGGCGGTGGCTGAGATAGGCAGAGTGCCAGGACCAGGGTGCAGATGCAGAGCGAGATCATGCCACGTAGTAGGGCTAGAGGCAGGTGGTGTGGTCAGCAGTCCAGGGTCAGGATCAAGGCAGCAAGCAATCCAATACTGTATAGGAGAGAGTGAGAGCACAGTCCAGAGGTCTGATGCCAGAAAGTCAGTCCTGTAAGGCTGGTCCTGACACTAGTGGGCTGGAGCAGGGTAGGAACAACTGGAGCAGGCAAAAACACACAGCAACAGGACAAGGGCAGACTGGGATCAAACAGGAGCAATACAGGAACAGACTGGAACAAGGCAGGGACTAACCAGAGCATGCAGGAGCAGACTGGAGCACGCTGAGCAAGGCAAGAACAATTGGAACAGGGCTGGCACAAGGTTCAAGGCACAGTGACACAGAGGTTAGAGCATAAGAGACTACTTGTATTGCTATGACAGGGTAGCAGTATCAGGAGGCCTTTTATGCTGGCCTCCAGGAGCACTGCATAATTGCTCGCAGGTGTTCCCTACGAGTGCCTGTAAAGGTGTTCCTGGTTCTGAAGGCACTTGCAGAGTCACTCAGGGTTCCTGATCCTGACACAAGGACTTTAAGTAAACATGCATAGGATTACAGAACTGTACTGATAGCTCCCCCACATAACACAATCCTATGCATATTTACTCATCCTAACTCTAACCCCTGCAGCATTCCACGGGGTTTGTACTAGCAGAGATGACACCTGGTTTCTGTCTATCCATCACATCCGAGTTCATGTTAACCCTGACATCTAGGGATGTTGAGATTACTACTGCATCCTCAAAATGCCTCAAACGCTTCAGTCAAAGACTCTTATAGTTGTGATTCACCATTATGAACAAGCCCTTACAGATAGTTTCATTTCTGAAGTTCTGATTTTCCTGATTACCTAAGATTTCGTCTTTGAGTGCAACAAAGTCAAATGGGAAAGGAACAATAAATATTCAGGTTCAAACACTTTTCATTAAATGTTTTTATTTAAAAAAATAGCCTCAAAATATGATGTGTAAAAACAAAACGCCTTAAGTAGTTACATCTCTTGGATCACTTGGTTTTGCAGACTTTTGTCATTTAAATCCTGTGATTTTATTGCTGGAAGTATTACCATGTCACATGTAGCTTACATAATCAAATACTGAAAGGACATGCAGAATCATGAGGTAAGGAGTCAAGAAAGTCTCATACAGATATTGGTGGTCTTTTCTAGTTCAACCTGTTCTCCTTTAACCACACTCAGATTAACCCCACCTCTTTTCATTACTGGTTCTGCCTCTCCTCAAAAAGAAACAGGAAGATAGAAACCCAGCAAGATTTAGGGTGCTTCAAAGTAGAAGGCTGCCAGTGTCACTGCCAGTGTCACCCATCCAAAGACTTTGTGCAGCTCTTCTATCTTTCCCTCTTAACAGATTTCTTTTTGGAAAGAAAAAAAAGTGGTCAGAAAATAAGGGAAGGTCACAAGCAGATTCCAGACAAAGCTTTTATGGTGCCATCACCTTGCCTAACTCATTGAATTTTACCATTGTCCAGATCTTATCGTATTTTGCTCACAGCCCTCCATGTTTTCCCAGTGCTGCTTCTCTCTTTTCTTTTACCAGGGGAAAAAAAAGATTGGTGATGGGAAAAAGTCAGAATAGCATACAAGGTCTTTTAATTTGTAATGCTAGCTGTTGATCTCCACCCCCTCCCTAAAATTCTATGTTTCAGAAAGGGTGATTACAGGATAAAGGCCTCATTAAACTTTCTACAGCACCATATGCTTTGTACAGGGGGCATTTAACTACAGCAATCTGAGCTCAGTGGGATGGGGCAGCACAAGGGATGAAAGAAATTTGCCAGCGTGCACAGCTCCCCATCACTCTACCAACTTTAAGTCCTCCACATTCAGATGGATCCCTATTGTAGGCCAACGTGTCAGGAAGGTAGTTCCATTAAAGAGCTGCCAAATGAGGTTTCTATCACGCCATTGACTTCTTGGTTCAAAGAATGTTCTGGCAGGTCCAGACAGTGTGGTCCTCCATTTGTAACACTCCCATATTTTCCCAATGCTTCTTCCATCTTTTTTGTTGCTGCAGATCTGTTGAGAAAAAGACAGAATAGGTGCACAATGCTTTCTGCCTAGTAGCACTAAGAAGCCCTCCATATGGAACCATCCTTAGTTTTGAGTCCTGACACTTCTTATATACTAGCAAATGTTATGGGGATAGAAGCTTTTGTGTACTAGGCCCAAGAAATGTGAAGAGGTCACTAAGGCTGGACAAAGCTGCTCTTAAGAGGGAAGAAACTCATAATGAGAGAGACACGTCCAATAGGCAAAGCAGCTTAAAATTGCTTTCTGTAGTGGCATCTGGTATAATATACTCAGGGTATCTCACCAGGTTTCTTTCCTGCTTTCTCCTCATTAATAAGCAACATCTTTTTACAGCCTTCTGATGACTGATTAGACTTCTGGTTCTGCACTTTGGCCAAGGTTTTGAACAATATAGAAATGTCATATTTTATGCTGAAAAGGAAAGGTCAGAGATATGGCATTTTCCTGTATAGCCAATAATCACCTCCTACATACTGGCCCTATGCCAGTTTCTGAATTCTGCTACTGGGCTCTGATCCCTTTACAATTTATTTTATTACTTTAATGCATATCTGCTTTTAGTATTTCATTATTGCTATTTTGATATAGCGCCTATTTTTACTGGATGGATCCAAAGTATTTACTCTTTTCTCTAGCAGCCTCTTTTTGCCAGCCAACATCCAAGGGTAGTCCAGAGTAGCATCCCATAAATAAGAATGGATCACCATCGAAGGAAATATACTTTCCCACCCCGTATGATAACGTTATTTATTTACATATAACCGGGATGCTATCTCACAGATATTACTGGATTTCTTCATTACCTATCCTCAACATGCTTCTAGAGAAACAAATACTTAATTCACTGGTAGTGAGAATTGACCCAAACTGCTGGTTGAGTCTTCTTGGTTTCAAATTGACAGCAGGGCTCCAGTACATGTCCGTCCCTGGTATACTACTGCATTTGTCATGTTTGTGTGGCAGAGTGATTCTAAAGATTTCTGGCTGATTGTGAACACTCCAACTGCAAGCATGAGTGGCTAAAATGATTTTTAGACTATCTTCCATTGCTTAAAAATTTCTAGTAAACTAAGTCCCACATATATTTAAAAAGATGCTATTTTTTACATTTGTAATCTAATTCAATTGGCATCTTACAATCAACACTGGGAGCATTTTCTTGATAGTGCAAATGCTTATTCATAAGCAAAAAGTATAAAATTAAAATTATTTCAGAGGAGTAGTAAAAGAGATCCATATAAAGTAATATTTTGGTATTAACACTGTATGTCCATGGCAAGTTCTCAGCCCCAAACTATGCTTAATCCATCTGCCTTACCATGTAGCACAAGTAGTTCAGCTTTAAAACATACTGCGGCAACAAAATGCAAAACTGGCGAGAGTGAAAAGGTATTAACATAATTTCTCCATGTCATAGCTACAGAATGAACATGCATAATTGGAAGTTCAAATGCCTATTTTGGCATATCAGTCTGCTGGCTTTAGGCAATCTGATCATATATCATTTGGAAATAACCTTTTCCAAATAATGAGATGCTTTAACTCTTTGACTAATAAAATCCATGTAAAGCAAAATCCAGTGAGGCAACCCAATGGCAGGCTTATACTTTCTTCCCTTAAGGAAAACCTTACTGTCGGATAATTTTATATTCTCCAACCACTTCCCTCCCATCACTACAAAGGATAACTATGTTACTTGTACATCATGCATGTTTAAAGAGAAAACATCTGATTTGCTCTTTTGACTGCTGCTTCAATTATTATGTAATTTCTTTGAGACACAGCAACCCCAAATCATACAGCATTTCAGCTGATGACTAATCTGAACACAAATAAATGGCCATGTATTGGAGGGCATGGCATTTAGAGAATAAGGCACATTTTAACAGGTACAGTCAAGAAAACTATCTAGTATCAATGTCACTAAGTGAAGAAAAACATGCTTCTGTAGCAAGCATATGTAAGTCCAACTACTTAGCTGCTGACATGGAAAACTACTATGTTTAGAAAAACTTCCTAAACAGAATTCAAATTACTTGTAGTGAAATATGTATGAATCTCAAACTTGTTGTATTTTCAAGAGAGTTTCTACATTATAGCGATAACCTCCTATGTATGCATGCACATGCACACACAAAACTTACATCAGATTTGTAATTATGGAGTGCATTATTATTGTTTTTACAGAAAGAAGAACAATGCAAGTTATGTAAATTGACAAAACCTGACTTGCATATGAAAAGTATTTAAAATTACAATCGAGAAAAAGGCAACAGATTTACTTTCTCAAAACATGATTGTATTCAAAATTTATTTTTAAACAAGACAATAATTTTAAACAAACATTGGTATTCTTAACATGTTGACAGACATTTTTAAATTAGCTATTTTGAACTTTTGCTCTGTTCTATCACAGTGCCCACCTACAATTTCTTCAAAGTATCAATTTTCATTTCATAATCAACCCGGATTTCTTATAGGCGAAATCAAGTTGCTCATATAAGTGAAGCATCAGTTTTCTTTAAATGATAAAAGTTTTCACTAATGCCCACATGTGCGTGCACATGTGCACACTTATGCGCACACATGCACAAAACACAATTCTTCATAGGTAGAATGTGTGCATGCACATGCATGCCCACACACACACACACACACACTCACTCACTCACAAACACACTGAAGTCTGTCCAGCCTTTTTGGTTTTTGTGCTACACTGCCCACATGGTGATTAGCATCCAGCCAAACCAGCTAAGCATCACTTCAGCAGTGCAATGGATGGCATCAACCAAACTTCACAAAACAAATAAAATACAAACACAACGGAAAATTTAACTAGATAAAAGGGATAACAATGAAGATGATACAACATAACTTAAGTGGGTCATTACCAGACTGGTTTGCAGCATACAACCTTCCTCAGGAAGCAGTTCTTCCTGATTCACATGTAAAGAATGGAACACGCATTACAAGCCTCTGTTCATGATGAAAGTTGCCCTTCAAAACAAATTCTGTCATGTCATAAGGCAAACAAAGAGATTGTGGGATGTCAAGTCTGGGGAATGTTTCATAGGTTTTGTGTACACACAAAATGTGTGTGTGCACAAATGCACACTATTACATTAATTTGTGTGTATACCAATTAAATGGACTGGCTCAGTAAATTTGAAAAAGTCCACTTCTACAAATAACTCAATAATTATGAGATTAAGTTCTTCATCACAGAAGTGTCATAACCTTGGATTTAAAGCTGCCATATTGGCAATGCATTCATTAATGACCTTCAGTGGTGACAACATGCCATGGCCATTTGGAAGAAAAAGCAGCATAAATACAATTATAAAAGAAAACAAAAGGCTTATGCAGCATCCCTCTCAATTTTGCTTTGTGATCAGCATCAGTTTTAAACAAGTCCAGTTCACCATGTTAAGAGTGATCCTACAGTTGGGTTGGAGAATAAGCTATTAAGGAGACAGAGATACAGGGTAAGAAACAGCATGCATTTACAACTTATTTATAATCTAGTCCTTTTTCTCTTCACAACTTGAATACAAAAACCCAATTAGGAGACCAGATTAAATAAAGGAAAAAGCAAGAAGTAGACCTATTTTGATAGTTAAAGCTTACAATTTCGTATCAGTAACAGCCAACTCATCTTGCCCTTTAATATACTGACAAGTATCTATTACAATTTCAAATATTTAAGGATGACTAGTGTATAGAGAGAGACCTATGCCCACTTAAAAAAGATAATAAATGCCTGCATCATGAAGTTACATTCTTAAGAAGACAGTGAGTAAGAAAATAGCTCATATGTGAAATGTTTCTGAAATGCATTTCCCCTCCCCATAACTATCAAACATTCACTCACGCAGAAACAAAAAATACCCCTTTTAAAAAAGTCAAGATGGGAATGATGGAGAAGATTAGCTAGGCTAATTACAGCACAGTGATTAAAAATGGTTCAAGACAGAACCAGTTAGAGTTGGCCAAAAGATGCCCTCTAGGCATAGCTAACTTAATTCTTCCCACCTACCACATCCAAGTTTGGGCTCCTTGCAGCGAGACCAAAATCAATCTATATGTCCACACATAGATATAAATTTCCAGCTTTTGCTTTTTGCAAGGCCTAGTTACCTATTTATATTTGCTCTGCAGCAACAAGAGGTAGGCATAGATCATCTAAAAAGCTTCTCTCCTTGTGCCCCACCACTTGTGCTTTCCAAAGCTGCACTTGTATAAAAATGTTGTTAACCTTTGAACAGTGTAAATCCAGTGACAGAGGGCCATTTGGGACAAATGCATAGCTGTGCTTTCACAACTCTGATTTATTTCCAATGGACCTGCACAGAAGTTATTCCCAGTGGATTATGTCCTTTGATTAACAGAGAGTAGCTTTTACTATACTAAAAGATACTGTCTTTAGAGCTTGCTGCAGAACATTCCTAAGGAATATGAATCCTGGAACCAATTCTCTTGATTTGATTTTGTATATAAAAACAAGGTACCATTTGGCCAAGACTACAGATGTACTTTTTCACAGATGCAAGTGCCATGCAAAATAAATTAAAGAACAGATACGAAAACATACAGGTAATAAAACTATTGAAGGTAGATTTTTTAAAAGCATTTATATAAACATAATTTATAATACTTTCTTTTTTTTCTCCTTTGTCTTTTCATGAAATACACAGTCACAAAGCTGTGGCTATACATCAAGGATCTCTTCTGCAGTGCCTCCACAGCGTAACCTGTAGCGTCCTGTCCTCCAACTAATTGTGGGATCCCACAGGGCCGAAAGGAAAATGTATATCGTCATGGACTCTCTGATGAACCATGCAACTGCATAGTCAAGTTTTGAAAAACACAGCACACCACCCTGGAGATTGTACAAGCAGATATTCATAATTAGTGGCAATGTTAACAACTAAATTAAATATGTATTTAATGGACACAAAAAACTGATGCCACTGTAAGATATAGAAGCCAATCGGTTATGCAACACTATCTTGCCAAATTTCGTTCAACTCTTTAGTGATGCAACAGTGTCTTGCTAATATTCCAAGCAAAACTATAGTTAACATTTGAGAAGCAATGATTCTAAACTCAATTCAGTAGGTATCTTTCCATGGCCATACAAAGCAAATACTATCAAGAGCTTAACTTGTCTACTGTTGAGATACTTGGCTTAATTACTATAGCATACAGGCATCCTGTATTTGATGCTGACTGCTACCTTAAGAACTTATGCAACTGTCTTCTGCCAAGTCAAACTACTGCTACATCTAGCAAGAAGTATATATTATGAATAGTAGAGACTCCTTTAGATGTCAGACAGAAGTCTTTCCCAGTCCTGCTACCAGAAATCAATTCCTGCTGGTGATAGGAAGAGATTTTTTGCTTCTCAGAAGGGCTACAGCCCCTCTCAGAGAAGGTAATAGTTCCATGACTGGCAGAAAGAGGAAATTAAACTGTAGGCACAGGCTGTTTCAGTACTACCTTTTCCCACTCAAGTAGTATATATGTAAGCAGAAAAAATGGTCAAACATGACATGACTCTTCATCAAGTCAAAAGAATCGAGCACCCCAAGGGTTAGTGGCATTGTTACAGATATTTAGCCATGCTTTTCAGAGCCATCTCAATGAAGATGGTCTGCAACATATTCTGAAGTTCATGATTTTCTATAAGCTAAATGACTTGAGTGTGCCAACCAGACTCAACTACCAACTTCATTAATCTAATGAAGCCATTAGATCTATCACAACACATTTTATTAAACCAATCAGATTAAAATGATACAATGCAGGATCTTTTGTTGCACCATGCTATATTATATTACTCATCATAAGGAAGTTATACTAGGTAAAGTTAAAAAAGCGCCACCCGTATACAATCTTGTTTCTAGACTCATCAGGGATTTTTTAAAATGGTGAAACATTAATTATTCCTATTATTACCATTACGTTTCTGTAGCGCTCGAAGCCAAAGCTCTCTGAGTGGTTCACTGCATTTAAGTCACCCATTCAGATTAAGGAAGGAATCCTAAGGCTGCAAGGCAGCATCTGAGGGGGCACAGGATATTTCACATTCCCAGATCCCCAGTAATAGTGGACCAGCCTCAGAGCTAAGAATCACAGCTCTGACTCCCCTCCCCATCCCAGCTGGGCACAGAAAGAACCGCCCCGGCTGCTATCCATGCTTGAGAATGTGACCTCAGAGATGTGGTAAAGCGAGCCATTCAGTGGCAGGGGAGGAGACAGGAAAGATCAAGACATGAGCTATCCTGAAGCCTTTCCAGTCTCCTCCTCTCCCTTTCTAAAATGTTCCGGCTAAACAAGCAAAAAAGCCCACCCTAAAACAGTTTATATAAGCCACAACAGCTAATTTAATATGTATATTATTTTAAATATAAATTTCTGATCAGTACAACCTACCTGGACACCCCGGAGTTGAATGTAGTCAAAGATAAACCATGCCAAACAATGACACATAAAAAACACCATTATATCCCATCTGAACACATGGTGAACTGCCCATCCAATAATTAAACTTGCAACAAAGCATTCCGAGATCGGCTCACAGATTATTGTGGCTGGAAGCATGTTGATCCGTAGTTTGGCCCACCTATTAAAAAAAAAAGGGGGGGGAGGGGGAGAATCTTAGTTTAAACCATTTGGTACTTGTCAAGCTATAGCAGCATAAGGGATTTCTGTACTGAGGGGCTGAAAATGAAAGTTAATCAAATTGCACAAACAGTGTTGTGTTTTGCTAGGAAAAGAGGTGAGAATTCAGTTTCCCAAATCCAGAAAGTATTTGTAGCAGTGCTTTTTTTTTTTAATGAAGGAGAATTATAGGGCTTCATGATGATCTTGATATACTTGAAATTATTGTGTTGTTATTACATTGCACTTATATCCCACCTTTTTTCCTTTTGCAAGGAAACCAAGGCAGCTTACACAGTCCTCCTCTACTTCATTTTATCCTTGCAACAACAACCCTGTGAGGAGGTTTAGGCTGAGAATGAGTGATTTCTTCATAATATCATCAGTCAACTCTGTTGCACCATTTGTTGCAGCATTGACAGCAGAACTGAATCAATTTTCAGTTATTCTCAGAAGTCTTAAGGCATCTCTGGTTAAACTTTATATAAATGCAGTAGCAATTAAGTTGCTGTATTCTCTAGATATATGCAGGGCTTAGAATGCCTTCAGTCAATTTTGTAGAAAATGGGTACAAAATGGCATCACTAGTAAGATACATGGCATATTTTGCTTATGTAACAACCAAGTTAAGGCTGCAAGCCAAGCTTATCACACTCATCAGGGAGCAACTCCTACTGAACACAGTGGTGCTATCAGAGAACACTAAATAAGGGATTGGTTATCTGAGATTGACTAACCCTTAAACCAGCTTAGTTTCACATGAAATGGCAAGCAAGGTGTCAAAAATGGCACCAAGCACAACAGAACAATCTGCATGAGTATACTGGCCCATGGTGGGCTGTTGTGTCATATGGACCAGGTGAAAGGGACTTACTTCTCAACAAACATGCATAGGATTAAGCTGAAAGGGGTGGTAAATGATACATATATGCCAGATGTGTGGTCTGGAATGTTTATTTTGCAAGTTAATAACTATTTGTTACTGGTTTTACTGCATGGATTAATTATATTTTGATGCCCAACCAAAAATTTATGTACAAGTACTTATTCGGTTTAATTTTTTTCTTTTGAAGAAATAAGGTGCCTGGCTATATAAACTATCTAATAACAGTGAAATGACTAGCAATTTAACATAGGGAGGAAATAGAAAAGATTATAGCTATAATCTATAAATCCATAAATAACAATTTCAAGTGAAAAAATCAGAGACAGAAAGATCTTTGGCATGCACAAAACGAACATGTTTTTAATCTGGAAACAAATCAGAGGAAAATGTCATGGACAACTAAAAAATTTAGAGTACAGTCCTATGAGGGCACCTGGAACCTTCTGAACTTGGGGGAGTACAGGAATGTTATGGAGATTGTCCTGCACTCCTCCCACCCTGCAACTGATTCAGGCTTTCTAGTTGTAGTACTTTGGAGGGGGAGGGAAGGAGGCTGAGGTGCCTCCAGGGTGCTTCCTATTTTGGAGGCACTGGCCTCTTCCCTGCCTCCTGAAACACCCCCCAATTCCCTTCTCCAAAGGTAACTTTTGTGACTTCAAAGGTCAGGCAGGCACAGCTTTTCCTGTGCTTGTTGCAGTGAGGGGAAGGATGCTTCAAGTACGAAGTTCCAGGCCCAATACTGGTGCCGGTTTCTGACATTGGAGCTGGGACTCCAAAACCCCCAGAAACTCTTCCAAGGGAAAAGAGGTTAATTCCTCAGTTCCAAAGAGTGGAACATAGGATGCTGTAAAATAATTGTTTTCCCGGAAGCACTTCCTGACAGTTAGGACCCCGAGGGCATGGAATGGGCTTCCACGGGAGGTGGTTGAGACCCCATTGGTGAGGATGTTCAAAGATAGGCTGGACATGCACATGGTGGGCATGTCGTGAGTGGAGCCGGCTGGAGCTGGAGGTCAGACTAGATGGCCCGGGAGGCCCCTTCTGACTTGCTCTGTTTCTCTAGTTCCTATTTTTAATGTGTGTGTGTATAACCAGATGCAAATATTATGAATACAAGTTCATTTTAAATGCTGTCATTATACAAAATAAAGTGAAAATAATAACTAAAAGGCTTACCAGGAAAAAATGTCCTCATTTTAATGTTTTAATAAATAAAATAAAAAATAAATAATGAGTTACGTGGCCATTTTTGTAACTTTATAAAAGGAATATTATATATTATGTTTCTGATTCGAGTAACCAAAATAGCAGTATGCAGGCATAAAAGAGGGAGGAATTAGTAGACTAAACAAACAAATCTCTTCAGAAGTGACCCTAATGGAATGGGAACTTCCCAAGCAGCTCAATGAGGACTGAATGCTCAGTGGCCACAGACTGTTGACTGATCAATGAGAGGGTAGAAACACCACCAGCACCACTGAAAACCATAGGGGAAAGCAAATGGAATGGCTGCCAATGGAAAGTGGAGAAAAAGATTGTTAGTACTATATATAAAAAGTATACGGAGAACCATCTCATTCTTTAGATAATCTGTGCCATCCTGTATCTAGAATTCTCATGATAAATAATACAGTAAATCAATAGAGAAAAGTACTTAAAAGCAGCAACCATCATTAAAAATACTTTTTAAATGAAGGAGGTATCAAAGCAATTTAAACATGGAAAAGAACTATTTTAAAATGCAGCTTTAAATGAATCATTTAAATGTCTTGAGTTTTTTTGCCAGTGGAAATATCTATGTGCAAGTATGAAAGTTCATGGTCTTTGGAATAGTACTGTCTGGCAACAGGTTGCTCAAGTTTTCTTGCTGTTGTCACTGACTGATTTTAATACAGGTAGTAAAACCCGTAGTTGATTTCTCAACAGGCAGCAGGGCATTTGTATTCAGTAGTGCATGTAATTCTACTAAATTTACTGGGGATTAAAAAAATGAAATAGGTACTCCCAACCATTCTGCTTTAGAAGGTGAGAGTTTTCCAAACATAAGAATAGTCTCTGGAGTAGAGGGAACTGCATGCTCAAAGAACACCTGAGGGATCCATGCACCTGTGCAGGTTCACCCAAGTCCCTGACATGCTGTGCCCCCATGACTCTTTACCCTGTTTGCTATGGATGATAAGGGCTCCCATGCACATGTAGACATGTTTAGAGCTGTTCTTTGTGACAGAAGAACCTCACTGTTCCAGGATTCTCACTCTCCCAGGATCCTTTCCACATACTAATGTGTGGCTGACAAGGAGTGAAACCCAACAAGGAGTGTTCTCCTCAACACAGGAGGGGTGTTTCTAGGCATTCCTAAATCTTGGAATACAAGAATTTAATTCCTAACAGACAAGAACTACAGGAGCAGTCTGAATTCCCAGAATTTGGAGATACCAGTATGCTGAAGTTAAAAATGCAGCTGGCTAAGTTCTCTCCCTCCCTCCCTCCCCTCTCCCCACTTGCATGTCCGTACATGAAAAAGAGAGGGAGAGGGAAACTTTAAAGTATTTGTTTGGTGTGTTTGGATTGGTAGGGGGGCTTTGCATTCTGTTATTTATATATCCATCTGTTTCTTACTATCTTAGCATTAAAGAACATTTTCTACAGTTTGAAAGCTCTACCACACTATCAGGTAAATAAAATATCAGCATTTCCTATAATACTTCCAAAGTTTCAATCTTGCCAGCAAAGACTGTGAACCAACCACCACACAATTTCTTTGAGTTTTACATCCCTGACAATGATTAAAAACTTATAGAGTTAAATAGGTACAGTGCAAATCGCTTTGAGGTGTAAAGATCTCAGGAGTGAAAGCTTGGTAGGAGAGGATTAAATAGAAAAAGGGATGGATGTGATCACCATACAAGCAGAAGCCTGCTTATACAACAGGCTTCCCTATTTTTCGTCACTCCAGATCTGCTCCAGGAGATCATCCAACCCTTCAAGAGGTTGGGAGCTCCAGAGGAGGCTTCAAGGAAAAGGGGAATTCTGGGAAAATAACACCATCATATATAGCCCAATGTATGTCTTGAAACATCAGCAAAGAAATCAGTGTTACCTCACATCAAACAAGGGAAAAAACTATAATGAGAGAAGGGATCATTAAGGATAATGTTGAAATAAGTTGAAATAAGACATGAACTATTTCCACTATTCTAATTCTTTCAAGTTAAACTAAGGCAAATTAAACTTTAACCTTTCAATATGCCTAGAATTAATATACGATTTAGAGAAAGAATAAATATTTTATTAGGAAAAAAAATCAGAATGGGACTGTATTGTTCTATTGAAATGATCTTTTAAAAGTGAATAATCATATGGACTATTTAGATGATTTAACCACTGGTTTTTATTGATTTATATTTGGTCAGTAGCTACAGTAAGTTTGTATTTTATTTACTTTTATTTTATAAACTGGCCTTCAAAAAATATTAATATGGCTCTGAATAAGCAAAAGGTCATCCAACCACACAAATAAGATTAATAAATTCAATCACAAAGCAGCATTAAAAGGCAATAAAATACAATAAGACAGACTGACCAAATTCATATGCTCTGAAAATGGAGAAGTTTTGAGCAGGTGCAGAAATTATCACAATGTGGCCTACCTATATGAGGTGGTGTGTTCACCAGATGAGGTGCCCTAACAGAGAAAACTCTTTTATTGCTGACACATTATGAATGACAATTTGAGAAAAGTCTCCTCTGCAGGACATAAGAAAAGAATAGGGTACTACACATGTCTTCAAGTATTGAGGCCTCAAGCCATTTCGGACTTTAAAGGAACACCTCATTACTTTGGACTTCAAATCTTCAAGGCCCAATGAACTGCATCTTAGAGCAATAATGGAACCAGCAGAAGAACCCCTCAGAACCACTGTCTATCATCCTGGTGGACTGATGAAGTGCCAGATGATTTGAGAGGACGAATGTTGTTTCTATCTTCAAAAAGGGAAAAATTAGGATCCTAGAAACTAGAGACCAGCCAGTCTGACATCAATACTTAGGAAAATTTTAGAGCAGACAATAAAGAAGTAAATCTGCAAAAATCTTGAAAACAATGCAGTGATTACTAGAAATCAGCATGAATTCCTCAAGAACAAATCCTGCCAAACTAATTGGATCTCATTTTCTCATCTGGTCACCTCTCTGGGGGACCACTGGAATGCCATGGACATAATCTATCTTGACTACAGCAAAGCTTTTCATAAAATGTCCTGTGATATCCTGATTAGCAAATTAGTTAAAAGTGAACTAGATGGAACAACAATCAGGGGAATCTACAGCTGGCTACAAAGTTGGACTCAAGGTGCTCTTCTCAATGGCACCTTCACAAAGCAAGGTAATAATTAAAGGGAGAAACAGATCTTGATATCCCTCAGCATACTGATGACATTTCATGTCTAATAACCCTCTAACAACTACATTCAATTGGTTCATGTAGATATTAACAAGCACAGGGTATGAGATGCAAACTTGAGGAATCCACTACATAAATGCCACCGTTTAGCAGAGCTGCCCCTCCAACATGATATACCCTGAAACTGACACTGCAAAGGTGAACCACCATTCCTCCACCAATAATCCATAGACTCAATCCAGCAAGATATTAGGATCAATTATATCAAAAGCCACTGAATGATCTTAGAAAATACAAAGGGCTACACTCCCCTAGACTCTGACCTGTCAAAGGTCATTTACCATGGTGACCAAGACCATTATGGTGTCCATACCTGGAATGAACTGGATCTAAGTATTCTGTGCCATCCAAAAGTGCCTGGAGTAGAGTTGCTACCACCTTCTCCAAGGCTTTACTCAATATGAAGATATTAACAAGTGACAGTTACCTCTATTGGGCTGCAAAAGTATTTTTCAGGGAATGGCAGCACAGTTATTTCTCCAGGCAGCTGGGACTACTCTCTCTCAAAGGGACATTAATTACTTCGTGGACTCATCAATTCCCCTATCTAATTGTAAATAGCTAGGACAGACAGTGATCAAGAACAGAAGTGATTGACACTTGGATCTTAACCGTAAAAAACAGAAAGGATTCAATTGTTCACTATTAAGATACTGAACATATATATAGTAATTCATAATTCTGAAATCTAACGGTAAAGAATGGAAAAGAGACAGGAAATGAGAAAATAAAATGTTAGATTTTTGTTTACCTGATCATTCTGGATTGAAACTGGGAAATTGAATAGGAGCCAGAATTTTGCATTGCAACTTGTGTGGCCATTGCAAACTTCCAGCCTCTGAAAATGAATGCAAATCACAAATGTAAACAGTATTTTTAAAAAGGCAATTGTTTAAATGTCAAAGTAGTCATCTTTTACATATGTCAAGGATAACCATTACATATTCCTGCTTCTTTTGCTACTTAGGGTGTAAGCTTGAGCATATGTAGAAAGAAAAATCCCTTTAACCCCCAGAATTCCTCAATCAGTATGTCTGAGGAATTCTAGTATTTGCAGGATGTTTTCCCTGTTTAACATGCACAGGATTGTGTCCTTACCAGTTATGATGTAACCAGTGCTTCACAATATTGCTTACTGCTCTAACAGCCAACCTGCACAAATCACTGCGGTGCAGCTCTAGCTACATGGTCAAGGCACCAATCCAGACAGGAGGACTGGGGTATTGTATGTATTTCCTCATATAAATTAAGTCATGTCAAGAAAATTAGTTACAGTGCAATTTATCTCTTCAATGCATGTGTTTTCTATGTTTACAGTTTGTTTTAACACTTTCCCACATAACATTCTGACCATCACCTCCAGTCTGAAATGGTATCTCTAGCCAGCCCTGAGTCCCACTACATGATTCTGCTTTCCTACAGGTTGGTGACTGAGATTTCATTTCAGCTCAGCCCACATTGCTACCTTCAAACCATCAGCTGTAACACAGATAGCAGCAGCAGCAGCAGCTTCATTTCTATATATCCTAAACCTAAAGTTCTCTGGGTAGTCCACAACACAAATTTAGGTGGTAATCCCTACTTGCAAGAAAAGCTTGAATGTCAAGCTTTTTAAAAAAGCCCATTATTTTATTTGCATTTACTCCTCCCCCCACCCACACCCCCTTTTCAGGATCCTACAGTAACTTACATGGCCCTCCTCCTCTCCAGTTTATGCTCCTAACAACCCATTGGAATAGGTTAGGCTGAGAGTCAGAGACTGGCCAAATGAGAGAAATTCATTTCCCTGAGAAATAGGTCAGCTTTTCTCAGGTACTGTAATTCCTTTCCAGAAACAATGTTATCTAGGAAGTAAGTTATGATTCTAATTAACAGGAAAAGACCGGGAAATGACAGAAAATAAGGAGCTTCCTATTTGCAACCTTATTTAAGGTGATAAACCTTTTCTTCTATAGACACACAAGAAACAAATGGCTAAACAAGTAGTACTCCTCTTTGAAAACTATTTAATCACTGGACATTAGGCCAGCAGAACTATACCCACTTTCCTTGGATGGCAAAATGAGAGTCAGCAAATGCTTGCAGGGATCTTTGAACAGTGAAGAAAACTTCTGGATAACTCATTAACCCCTCTGAACAAAGGTTCTTTATGTAGTAGATGAGTTAAATTAATTTGGCTTTATGTTTGACTGGGTCCTTTTATTCCCTTACAGTGACAAAAGTGTGCTACTGTAGGCTTTAGGAACCAGTACAGAACCAGTACAGAAGCTTTTCCTCAGCAGGTATCATATAGGTATTTGGTTTTCCAAGCCCCATGAGTTCTGCCCAGCTTGGCCAATGGTCAGGAATCCTGGGATTGCAGACAATACATCTGGAGAGGGCCACATTGGGGAGGACTGCACTGCAGAATATGCTAAACATGAAAAAGTGTACTCTAAGAAGAACATTCTGTGAAGACCATCATAATCATACCTGTCAGCTATTGCTTTAGCCATAAAGTAATCCTCAGCAATGTACTGTGCAAAAGCAATAAGTCCTCCAGCTTGATCGAGGACATCTTTTCTCATCAAACAAGACATTCCTGTTACACATTTGAAACCAGTTACATGGGCAGAAATGTATGTCCTTGGATGGGAAGTGCCAAAATATACCTGTTAAATAAAAATACACAGTTAAGTAATCATACCATGGTTCTTTTTATCATGACATATTTTCATTTAATAGTCACACACACTTGTGTTCTTTGCCCACTGATCATATAAATTTTAAATCATCTGTCTGGAAAAATGTGCACTGGTAATATATACACCACTTCTGTAATAGTAGACTACTATGCATAGCTAGCAAAGTAGTCTACTTTGATTTGTGAAGCCATTTGCACAATGATAAATTTTGCTTTCAACTTGTTCAAACAGACTTCTCATATCTTTGCAGTTATCCATATCTACCACCCCATTTGTGTTTGTTGTAGATACAATGGCAGTCTTATGTGGATTCCCTTTTAATGCTTGTTATTTGTTCTATGGAACACAAAATGAGGGAGTATGAATTAGTTCTAAGAACTAATTCAATTCTAATTCAAAGCCTTTTTATTCAAACATCATTTTAATTGTTAATACTATTTATTTTATTCTTCGGCCAGGGTGACTTATTTTATATTGTTAACTTGTTTTATATTTTTATTGTATAATGTTTTAATTGATATGTTTGTGAGCCGCCCCGAGGCTTCGGTGAACTGGGCGGCATAGAAATTTAATAAGCAAGCAAGCAAGCAAGCAAGCAAGCAAGCAAGCAAGCAAGCAAGAAAGAACCAAACGATATTGCAGCTTTTGGGTTTTACTACTCAATCTAGTGGTGCCTTTGTGGGGGCATGGGTTAAAAGGCTTACAACAAACTGAAATTTTGGACTAGGAAGGACAACTTTATTCAGACAGTGAAGAAAACTTGAGGTCACAAAGATCCTGAGGAAAAATTCTGCGAAAAAAGGTTTCTAACAAGAAAATGGAAGAGAGGTTACAAGGGAAAAGTGGGATTTTGACAGAAAAGAACGGGAGAGGAATGTCAAATGACCTGCTCCAATCCCAGACTTTTCATTTAGTAACATAAATCAGTTGAAATACTTGATCACAATATGCACTGGGATTATTTGCAAGACATGACCGACTGCTGGGAATCATGCAGCAGTGATTTTGAAAAACTAACCTCTGCTTGGGAGTTCTCATGTCATGTACAGATTATGTGAGGGTTAGATGACTGTCACATAACCCATGGTCTGTTTTAGGGCTATGCAAAGTTTATTGTTTACTGTTTAATCCTATAGTTATGATTTGGGTTACTACTGGAGGGAAAAATGAGAAAGTGGTTTTATAACTCTTCCCCATTACTTGTACTCAAATGGCTCAAAGGTTTACTTTATGCTTTTAAGCTTTACAGTATCACAGTATTGAGGAATTTAAATGAAAATAATAGGAGGAAGGAAAATAACTGAGGAAGAAGCAAGAGCACAAATGGCACTCACCTGTTCTAGTGTGGCAGCAAAACCTTGTCTATCTGCTACATACGGCAGGCCATGAACCAATCCAATCTTTTCTGTCATTTGGTTGGCCATATCAGTTAGTGTATCTGGAGTTACTAAAAATAAGAATTGGGTTATGGCTAACATCCATGGCCTAACATTTTAAAGAAGCCTATATATTTTTTTGTTTAAACTTACAAGAAAAATATTGATTTCTCAACCACACAAAGATTTTAATCAAGGACACCTGCTATCATGGTTGCAAATTATTAAACAGGAAGAACAAAACAAGTTTCACAAATCATGTGCATATTTATAGATTGTCACTACATTCTGCATTAGTATTTTAGCTTGGACTCATATGAAAAAGCCAAATACAAGGATAATAAAAACTTACACTTAAGGATGTAAGGGAAAAGTTAAAATACAAATGCAATGTAAGGCAAAAGTTAAAATACAAATGCAAGTGCTCAAGTATTCAGGGCTGGAGCTTTAAAAATGTCTATAATACAGTAATAAGAAATAAAGTACAACATTAATGCCAGGAAAGCTTTTGAACTAGTTTTAAAAAATGCTTTGGTCACCCTGCTGATAGCAGATGAATTATTCAAAAATTTTCATTTGAGCAGTTGTCTGCTAACAGGACTTTCTTCACCTCCCCTCTGCACCTTCTGAATATTTGCTCTAGATAGTTTCTCAGCCTTCTGGTGCAAGTTTTGAGGATGTGCAGAGGACTAGAAAGGAAAAATAAATTACTCCCCTACTGGTTCTGATATCAGTAGCAGTTTTGTCAGCGAAATAACAGTGTTAGTTCCTACTCAGAAATAGAGTTCTGCTGACTTGACTGGAACAGCAACAGTTGGTGAGGAAACCAAGTGTAATGCCCTGACATGACTTTTGATATCTCATTCTTTATTACTGCAACATCGGCTTAAAATAAAGATGTATTATTCTAACACTAGTTCCCTAAGCATCATCTGATACATGTAGCAAAGCAGCTAGTATAATTAAACCATGCTCAGATTAAAAGAACTTACTTTGCATTTGTTATTCTCTGCAACCCTCTGCAATCACACTAATCTCAATTACATTGCATTTGCTCATATACACCCCATGATACCATTACTTCTTCCATTGTGCTCATTGCCTTCTTTGTCCCCAGTTGCCTAGAATTTAGATTCTAGTGTTCATAGGGTCCACTGACTTGTAACGTTGCTTATGTTACTCTGTAAAATGCCACATGCATTAAATAATAACTTGTAAATAATAATTACAACAATAAAGCCACCACCAAGCACCACCTGCTTACCTCTAATGCCACTATCGCAGATCCATATGAGGTCATACTTAGCAACTTCATATGCTGGCATTAAATTGTTGATCTTTGGATTTATTCCAACCTTTTTACCACCTTAAAAAACCCAATTTTTAAAGTTATATGCACACACTAAACATATGTTTTTAGAATATATTACTTTTTAAATAAAATGGAAAGGAAGCAGTAGGAATATCCAGGACATATGAAAAAAAAGTCTAAATACCATCCTAATTCTTTGCTGGATTCTTAAGGACTGTTCCAGAATGAAAGAGAGGGGCGTGGGGAGATCATTAACTGAGGATTATAAGACACCTCGTTGCTGGGGTGATGTGGTTGTTGGTTATTAACACTTTAATACACCAAAATGTTTGGTGTGTGTATTTTTGACATGCATCCTGATCAGTGTTTTTGTAAAAAAAGAAAAAAAAAAAAAGAGAAAAAGGTGCCGGAACTCACATCTTTTTTGGAAAGAACTTGTTTACTTTTTGCACATTGCCAGTCACTCTACACACACATAAACATAATGCAGTAATGCACTCCACACACACCAGTCCCAGACCACACACACCAGTCCCAGCACCCTCACTATCAGATAGCAGACACAAAAGCAGCCTGCAGGCACTATGTTAATGATGTTTGCTGCTGATTCAGGATTTAAAATCACTTAGTAAAATCCATTGGAAAAAAAGGTGCCGGAACGCTGTTCCGGTGCGTTCTATGACAAAAAAAAAGCCCTGATCCTGATCAATGTAAAATTGATGTTGTATCTTCATGCTAGGTATTGCCCATTTTGTATTTCATTAAAATGTCACATTAGTATTAGTGAGATGAACTGTTTGGGTTGTTACTGTAATTTTGCATTGTTTCAGGTTTACATATTGATGTGCATCCTTGCTTTTGTACTGCTGTGTTTGTGTTGGGAGCCACTTTGGGCACATTGGGTACAAAGTGGCATGCAAATTAAAAGTGATGATGATGACGTCATATGTGATCTCAGGCTCTGTACACAGCATGCTCAAAGATCTGTTTAGGTTCTCTCTGTGAATGTTATACTCTAACCTACTTGCGAAGAAAATAACAGGGTCAATTCTGGATAATAAACACAAGAAAAGCTTTGTTGGCCAGTCTGCCCAGTAAGGAAACACCTCATATTCTGTCCAAGGGTAGAATCCTATGCAAGTTTAGACAGAAAAAGCCTACAGGGCAGTTAACTGGGGCATGCTGGGAGATGCAGGTCTTTTCTATCTTAACTTATATTAGATAGCATTTTAACTCACCTAATCAGAATGGCAACCTAGAGAGACACAGAGGGGGAGGAACCTAATTGAATGCAGTAATTTCAAGCACACATACTCAGCAATAGCATAATACTCCAGCATCTCTTAAGTATTCAGGTTGCTTTACTCATTACAATTTGACACCCCTTTTATTGCCACTCACACAATCTGAAATGTAATCTAATATACAGAAAGTTAGGTGCACTCTGAATTTACTTTAAAATTTTGTTTACATTTATTTTACAGTCTGTGACCTTGCAGCATTCTTTACCTAGATGGATTTCTTTACAATAATGTATTACTCCAGATTTCTTCTTCTTCTTTGGGTTTTTTATGCTGACAAATCCAATCATCTATTAAAAGCCAATACCATGATGGAAGTCTTCCCTCACTCACCTATAAATAGTCTTGCATCAATATTAGGATATTTGCCAAGGAGCTTTTTGCACACATCAATGGCAGGATCATCATGATCTTGAACACAAAGGAGCACTTCATACTGGGAAAAATACAGTACAAATTGTTATAAATAAATCTCTTTAAGGTTTACTGACAAAAATAAAAATCAATATGGTATTGTGATATCATTAAAATATCTGAATTGTAATAGTCTTGAAATATTTCCCATCAACTGATAGCTTCTTCCCCCTCCAGGAAATCTTACAGAAAAGCCCTTCAGCAAATCTAAGTGCAACTCTGTAATTGTCTGACAAGACTCTTGGCAATGTATTGTCACATAATTTGCCCATCATTTTTAATAGGAATAGATTCAATTGCATAGTTCAAGGGTGGCCAGACTTGCTCAACTGAAGAGCCACATGCCGTAAATGTCAGATGTTTGAGAGCTGCAAGCAGGTTTCTGTGCGAGGAAGCCGGGGGGGGGGGGGGGGGGGGGGGGGGGGGGGGGGGGGGGGGGGGGGGGGGGGGGGGGGGGGGGGGGGAGGGCAGGCAGTGGCAGCAGGGGCCAGCAAGCGGGTAACTGCACACACCTGCAGCAGCAGGTGGAGAGCCACAAAATAAACTCAAAGAGACACACGTGGCTCCTGGGCCTCAGTTTGGCTACCCTTGACACAGCAGGTACCCCAAACTTAAGCCATCAATTTTTGATGAGTGCTGCAGAGAATCCTGGACTAACAGCACTTAAATAGGATTCAGAAAACAAATGAACAAACAATGATCATGACTCCCATTTTCTTCTCATAGTATTCTATCTCATGGTTACCTTGACCCACAGAAGTATGAGACTGCATTAACTCCTGCTAGGATGGAACAAGAGATGGAGGCACAATCAGATGCAATCGAAAAGCCGCAAGGCTGACCTAACCTCATTTTAAATTTCCTTCATGCTTGTTAAAAAGTTTTCTAGAGATTAATATCATAATATTAGTTAATTTTTCCACAAAAGAAACGCTGGGATTAAAGTGTTTAATCCAAATTTCATATTAGCATTAACTGCTTTATCAGTAAACAAGTACTGGGTGGGAGGGAGAATCATCATTCCTAAAATGAAAACTTTTATACCTTCATGCCTATTTGTTAACCTGTGGTAAATCGAGGGTCTTTTCCACCTTTTAAAGGTTTGGAATCTTCCTGTCTGAATCATTTAAAAATATGTCATTAGGCTCTCAGCACATTAAAATGTACAGAATTCCTTCTAGTAACAGCTGTTACAGTCACATATAATGTTGCATCAATTAAATTTTTATGTTTGTTTGTAGTTAGTTGATTAGTACAGAGCACTGTATAAATTTCACCTATGAAATTTTGGTCTGGAAAAATCTGAACTGTAGCCAATTCACCCTCTTATTCATTCACTTAGAATCAGTCATGGGCTAAGCACTGACTTCTACAACAAATAGTGCCCTGTTTTATCTAACTTCAGTTATAGCAGGCAATACTTCTAATCCCAACATTTATTATACTCTCAGCTTCAGGATTTCCTCCTTTACTAAAAGCACTTATTGAGGCTGAACAGTTATACTAACCATATTCCATGTTTTAAAATATTACCACTGAATAAACTGCATAAGCAGGAATGGAACAGGGTTATGAACTGAGCCATTTTGGCTGTGGATTGCCTCTTTAGCATCAGTTTCTAAAGCCTCTTGGGATCTCCGATTAAAGCTTACTTAGCAAAAACACTTGTTCTCTACCTATGCTTCTTTTAACCCGATGCTTTGACAGTGCCCCACAGCTGCCTCTTTTGTGGAAGATGTTTTTCTATGAATAAACTTTGTATTGGAACGCTCTTTAATATTTACTGAAGTACATGTCCTCTTAATTTTTCTTAAATCATCTGCATAAGAAAATAAGAGTCATGATGGATCAGACCAATGGTTCATCTAATCCAGCATTCTGTTCAGAAAGGAGAAAATCAGCTACTCATAGGATTCTACCAGCAGCCTTTCAGTGCAACAGCACCTCCTTCTACACGAATCCCTGCAAAGATCATTCCACAAGGCTAACAAGGGTATTTTCATCCCAAATGTAGGCCTGAAACCCAGTTGAAATGGAGCCAGAAATTCAGTTTTATCCTGGTATGACTAATCACAACGTTCTTGAGTAACTTGCCCAGGAGTGAATGTTAACCACAACCTGTTAACTTCTTCTGGGTCCAAGTTAGGTTAATTTAGGAATAATTTTAAGGAGTCTGACATTTAATAAGTCATAATGGACAAGGGTTAAGCACACAAAAGGTTGCCAGATTTGACCAAGTATCTTATCTCAATCTTAGGTTCCAATAACTGAAATTAATTAAACAAAAATTGGCCAGACAGTATTCTGGACTCCTCCACTGATGACACTGCATCAACAGATACATCTAAATCATGATGTGTGCAGGCATTTAACAAATGTGTCTTAGTGTGCTGCTGTGGGTTCTGTCATATCTTCAATGCCCAATCAGATTGCAAAAGGCCCTGCAATCACTCAGAAAAGTTCTGCTAAATGACATGCAGAGGAGAAAAAGGAGGCGAAAACAAGCATTTTCACCTTATCACCACCAGAGTAAGCTCGGCAACAGGCTATCACTTGTATTTAGTTTGATTCATCATGATTTTGCTTCCACCAAACCTCCAACCAATTTACTTCATTGTCCTCAGTTCAGATTCAAAAAGCCACTCAGGCTCTACTCAGATGTACAGCACACTTGGGGATTATCAATTTCACAGTCTGTGGCATCTAGTCAGCCAAGAGTTACTGGGGCTGCAAAGGAGAACTGCTATACTAGTAGGACAAGCCTTCAGACCCCTCAGGAATCCTTTACATTCCATTAGCTTGGGCATAGAAATCTCCAACCTGTAGTAAATTACCTGACCATGACAGGGAAAGATGCTCCTATAGCACCAAGAAAGCCAAAAACAAAGTATATCATGGTATGTGTTGGGCCAATGGTATCTTGGAATATGCTTGTGGTTACCATGGAAGCCATGAAGCCCTCAGCCAGGCCAGACAAAGTGGCTTTGGTATGATTGTTGATGTTCCCCAGGAGTCTCTAACAAGAAGATTACCTTCACCAGCTCAATAAGACTGCTGAGCAGCTAGGTGAGCAGTACGCTAGCAGAATCCCTAGCCTGTCCCAAGAGATTTTCCAAGCAGATTTTCTTAACTTTTGTTTTAAACTGGAAGTGACCTGGCAATGCCTCTATTCATGTCAGCAGTGCTCACAGTGAAGATTTTTCTGAGAAGTAATGCCTATGCCACAGAACAGAGTTCCCAGAATATGCATTCTAAGATAAGGGCCTGTATTTGAATAAAAGATAAATGATACAACATAAGTTTTCATATTCTTTACTGGAAGAGACTGCTGAAACTATTGTCACACTAACTAAGTGTCCTGTAAGACAGTCATATTGGAGACCTCATACAGGACCACGTTGTAAGGCTTCACTTAAATCCTGGCCAATTCTAAAGTTCAAGCTTCTTGTACTGGGAGGTTTGCATTGCTTATTTATTATTTAAAATACTTACATGCTGCCTATCTCACCACTGATGTCTCTAGGCTTACCTACCAGACTACAAATTGTTTATCTATCAGATTGTTCTTACTTGTGTAACTGTTGAATTATTCTGGGAAATTGGGTAGCCTCTATGAATCTGGGGCTACCGTAATGTAATAACAAGCCTGTTATGTAATGCTGAATATACAGGCTTGTTGTGGGGAAGAAATAATGAATAGTCTCCCCAGATTTCTAGTCCCATGCAGACACATTATAATTTATTTTCATTATCATGACATTTCTTCAGTGACTAGTAGTAATCATAAAATAATTTGGAAAGAAAGCCAGTATAATATTTTCTGAAGTATAATGTATTACTGAAACATACTTTTGGATAATCCAATTCAAAGAAGGTCTCCAAGTTGTTGATGAGGTTTGGATCAACACCTTTCAAGGGCTTCAGAAGCGAAACTCCTGGAAGCTTGCTATATGGCTGTTTATCTGTTGCTTTCTTGCTGAGGTGTAGATGCCTGAAAGGAGGAAAAAAGAGCATTATTTAGGAAAAGCAGGAACAATGTGGTAAACAGTTATATGGAACTCTTCACTTTCTCAATCTGGTATTGGACTACACTGCAGTTAAATTTCCCCCATATGGTTCTAGGAAAAGCTATAAAAATGCAGGAAAAACTTTCAGTATATCAGCCGGAGAGGCTGAAGCTATAGTGGTAACTGAGATGCTTTGCATGAAGAAAGCCCCAGCATCTCCAGGATGGGCAAGAAAAAAACCTGAGATGGTAGATGGTCAGTCAGTGTAGGTAAGAGTGAGCTAGCTAGACAAATGGTCTGACACAACAGAAAACAACTTCCTGTGCTGTTTCAAGGTAATAATTAACATGCTCCAAGCAGACACAGAGGAAGAATTTTAACATTTTCCTCCACTGATATCCTGAAGAAACTCTCTCCTCTGAGGTAGAATTTGTATTAGAAAGAAATTGTCCACTGACACCAAAGAAGCCCCCAAAAACAGAAAAGAGATTTTCCTCAGGATTACAGCAGTGCAGGAAAAAAAGTGTTCTGCATCCCTCCATGCTGGTTCAGATTTGCATCGCTGCAGCTGAAGCTATTTCAATTTTTTTAAATCTAGTAACTACACTGTAGATCTAGTATTTATACTGCCTTTTATGCAAAAAATAAACATATTTAAAACACTAAAATAAGTAGCTATGTATTCATGTCTCAAACCTGCAAGCACAGTAAAGCTTCTAAAACAAGCTGAACAAAATTTTGGGAGTAGACTTACAACTAAGTCCACAAGTTACTAGGCCACAAACATGTTTACAACTCTGCTGTCATATCACTATTCCAAAAATGCTTCTTTCCCTGGCCATCTGGACAGAATGTATATTCCCTCCAAGCTGAAAGGTGACTAAACTTTTATATTAGCATTATTATAGTACTTTTCATCAACTCATGTCAAGGTAAACTAGGTGAGAACTAGGTGGATTCTATACAGTGCTATGGATGCCATAAATACTCTTCTTCTATACAAGAATAATTGTAATAGATTTCCCACACTAATTCATGGTATTACTCTTTTTCTGCTCACACCAGTGAGCAGATTGTATGGAGAAATATTGCATATGTGAACACCTTATGAAAAATTCAATTACCTAAATTAATTTTTAAGCCTCCTTACTGTCCCTGAAATACCAAATAAGGGTTTTTAACATTTGTTTTAAATCAAGACTGTAGATTGGAAGCATTACAGAAAGCCACATTGCTAAAATGCTGGCAACCAAAGTTATTTTTAGATCATTTAAAAATTATAATACTATCATACTCTTTAAGTGCCATTTTTCTAACTAAATTCATCCATATCCATAATCATATCTATGTCCAGAAAAGAATAGCAATTAGAAGTCTGATTGCAAAACTATTGTGATGGTAAAATAGGGACCATAACAAAGTGGATAGTTAAAGTATTTTAGGCTGCAATAGGTTCACCTGCCTAATGCTTTACCTAATGTATAAGTTGCACCACTTGCCAAGTCAAAAGATTAGTGCTAAGAATCAGATAAACGTGTGAAATTTACATTACTACAAAATTTCTCCTTCCCCCAAAGATAACTTAAATTTTATGTTCTATGAGAAAACATAGAAGCAGCTGAGGAAAAACATAGAAGGATAATACTGACATACCCCATAAAAAGTGACATTCTAGATTAGCATCTGATGTGGAATCACCTTTATTATTAAAGAATTCTTATTTAGACAAGTTACTCTGCTTTCAATCCTACTACTTTTCTGCAGTAGCAAAACATATGTTTATGTAAGCCATTATATTTTGATATGAGCAACGATGTAGATCTCACTGAGATGAAAAAAAAACCAAAGAAAAAAATCTTACAGCATCTTAAAAACTAACAAATCAATTTTATTCATCAGATATATAACTGAGATGAAATATTTTGGTCACTATCTCACACCAGCTTTGGCTTATTAAGATCAGCTTAATTCACCAGCAAAGCAGCTGGCATCAACACTGTTATGAGCAAACTACTCACATCTTTCAGTGTTAAATATATTTTCAAAATAGGAGATGCCTCATATAGGGCAGCACCCATAAGATAAATTAGCACACATATTCATAGAATGATGGAATACTAGAGCTGGAAGGGGCCAGAGGGCCATCAGGTCCAATCCCCTGCTTAGTGAAGGACACCGAATAAAACCATCCCTTTCAGAGGGCTGTCCAGTAGCATCTTGCATGCCACTAGTGTGGGATAGCCCACAACCTCCCTAGGTAAATGGTTTTGTTGTCATAATGCTTTCACAGGAATTCTTTCCTGATATCTAGCTAGATTCTGGCTTCCTGTAACTTGAGCCCATCATTTTATGCCCTGCACTCTGGGATGATCAAGAAGAGATCCTGGCCTTCATCCTTGTGACAGCCTTTCAAGTACTTGTACAATGCTATCATATCAGCCCTCAGTCTTCTTGAGGCTGAACACGCCCAGTTCTCTCAAGCTCCTGAGAGGACTTTGTTTCTAGTCCCTGGATCATCCTTGTTGCCCTCCTCTGAACCCTATCTGCATCTTTATTAAACTGTGGTATCTGGAATTTGGATTCAGAAGTGATACTTCTATTAATAGAGCCTAAAAGAGCATTTGCCTTTTTTGTAGCCACGTCACATTGTTGATTCATATTCAGCTTGTAATCTACAACAATTCCAAGATCCTTCTCACTTGCAGTATTTTTGATCCAAGTATTCTCCAACTTGGAATGATGCATATGAATGTCAGCATGAAGCAAACTACATCTTTACAAAAAACCAACATTTGAAATTTTTTAAAATAGTTCAGTAGTGGAGTCCAATCTCACCTGTATAATATTGGACTGCCTGCTGCCTTGGCCCTGTCCCTGGACTACTGACCACACCACCAGCCGCAAGCCCTATTAAGCTGCAGGACCTGGTCTCACACCAGTACCCTGCTCCCCACGTTCTGCCTGTCCCAGTCACTGTCCACATCCTGGCCCTTACACAGGCAACTGAAAAGTATGTGACCCAGAAAGCAGCAATCATGCTGTGAAATTAACCTGGCATCCTTTTTTACACAGACAAAATAAATAATAATAAGACTTTAAAAAAAAGACAACGAAGATGTACGTGCTTCATTGCAAACGGAAGGAGGAAGCTGCAATACTTAACTGCTCTGAACAGCCAGTTGTCCCAAATGTCACCTCAACAATTCCTATTTTCATGTGCAAACTTGTGAGCTGCCAAGACCTTTGGCTATTGGGTAATATTCAACCATGGCTGCACTCTAGCAGGACCCACAATGGGGGGCTACGGAATTTACCAAAAGTAAAAGTCAAAATGAGTATAAATGCTCATTTTCAGAATGACATAGGTCAGAGCAGCCTGCAGAACAAATCTCTACCAATCTGTCCCAATCTGGAAAAAGTGTCTCCAGGGTTGCCCGCCCCCTGATTTTTTAAAGAAAGACATACATACAAATTAGAAATTAGCAACACACAAAATTATCACTCAATTTAGAACTTACTTTCAATTCTTTTCAAAAATCAGATGTGTTAGAAGAGAAAAACCATCTTAGTTGGGGATAAATACAATCTATTTTGCTTGGTAGCCAATAACCAATTTTACAAGCCAGTAGGAATGTAGAAAAAGTGACCCTTAGCTCATGCAGAATGTCTTTGACTTTCAGATGAGTACCTATAGTGCACCTCAAATAAAGAATTAAGAGCTTGCAAAACATAGAAAGCCTTGTGTTCTCCCAATTCTGAGCACCCTCAAGCATCTTTTTAGAAATTAAACACTATAGCCAAACCTCTAGCAAGAATTTCATACACAACTGAAGAATGGATTCCTTCTCCCCAAAATGCATGCTGGTTTTTCTCCCAACTCTCATGTATCAACTCTCCTAACCTCTTCTGTTATGGGCAAACTCTTAATTTGGAGAACTTGCTCCAACAGTACAAGGCCTCGTTTGTGCCAGAGCATAGTTTATCAGAAATCTGTTTTCAGCATTAGCACACAGAAGAATTTCACTCCAGGACACCTGGGGCTCCACAGCATGACAGTCCAGTCTTAACCATTGCCAGCTATTCAAAAACAAAGGAATAACATAAAAAATAAGTGCATTTCAGTAGTGGCTGGGAGGCAAAAGAAATTCAAACTGACCCTGTAGGTGCAAGAGTTATGCCATCAACGTTTTGTTGTTCTAGCTATAGGCATTCAGCTATGTTTCCACTCTCTTCCCTGCCATCCGTGCAACTGAAGTATTGTTCTTCCACAAATACCTAGCTTAAAAACAACTCATAGTGTTATATTATCCAGCAAAGCCTTTCCCCACAGAGAAGATTCTTTTAAATATATACTCACTACAATTCCATTCAGGTAAGGTACTTTTGAATGCTAACTGAAAGTCACAGTTGCACACTCTCTAAATTGTAACAATGTCTCTTTTTCTCCTTCACCCCATGCCTGTAAGAAGAGGCTTTAATTACCAATTTCTACACATTTCTCTTTTAGAAAAAATGAAATAGCATAATAAAAATTACAATATTGAAACAGTATCTGTAACAAACACCTCCTCTACCTCATTCGCTGTAGGTACAGACTCTGGCACTGGGCAGTTTAGAGAGGTTATTCTTCATTAATCCCCATGGACCAGTAGGAACCAATAGAACACCTCAAACTTCCTAAGAGAAAGTATTCAATTTAAAGAACAGCCATAATGGCATATTGCCTATGTACACTGCTGGCATTGTGTTTTAATCAAGGTCACATCTGAAAAAATATAGCAAGGGATTACTGAGAGAACTGTGGAATGCAATGGGGTCTGGGCTAGCAAAGTTATAAAGATGCTCTATAAAAACTAAGTAAACACATTAAAGCACCAGCAGAGAAAGCAGAAAATTTGGAAATATTCCTTGTCTTGTGCCTTGCAGTTTTGGACCAAAGTAAATTTGATGGGTCAGCCATGTTTGTTGTCATCTCTGACATCCT